GTAAAGATATATTAGGAAATAGAATATCAACTAAAATTAGGAAAATTCCGCAAAAATTCAGGATCGATCATTCAAACCTAGATGGCCAAGCGGATAAGGATGGATAATGTCTGAACTAACCAACTTCTTCTGGACGCACAAATTAGGCTTGTTAATCTGGATCCCAACAGCCAACCAGCCAGCCTCAGCAATATTTAGTAGTCGAACTCTTGAGGCGAAATTGAGATTTGTTGGTATGCATGCGGTGGATGACCATGAAAGCCGCCTGGTTAACATCAATCAGTCTTCTGTTGTGTATCCACAAGATGAGTGAGATAGAATAGCGCTGTGAATAGATGGATTTTGTTTGTCATTTGCCTAACCAACCAACCACTGTGCAGGGTGGATGATGTTCGGAAATCCGACGAGAAACACGCCTAATTGTACGGCTTATGCAACTAACTGGCTCACTTCACAATAGCAGACATTATCTTTACCCCGCTTGGCCATCTAGGTTTCAATGATCGATCCTGAATGTTTGTGGAATTTTCCTTATTTTAGTTGATATTCCATTTGCTACTATATCTTTGTTATTATTATTATTATTATAATTATCATAATTTAAGCATCTTTAGTGAACTGTGGTGATTCCATTGTGATCTCACTTTGCAAATCGATATTATTTAAAAAGCACACACTAATATTGTTATTGACTACTAATCTAGAATATTCTATGTATATAAACATGCATATATGTAGATATAATTGTAGAGCGAGAAGAGGGGGAATTCATCGAAAAGGATATTCTTTACTGAATTATTTTTGTCTTTTATCACCGGTTCGCTGACTAAATATCTGACTCGTGACTAAATCTCAAAAATATCCACCTTAATTATCTCGTCATTAGTTGATTATCTGTAATTTTTTTTTTCCTTCACGTTCCCAAGTGGAACATAGGGCTTCAAGCAGCATTAACCAGCATTACTTCTGGCTTAGCGAGGTAAAGGAGTGCGTCGGTGGCCGGTGATCGAACCCCGGACCATGTGCATGGTCGACGGCGAGCATCCTAACCGCTATGCCACCGAAGCAAAACATTGGAACACGAAATAAAATTGCAAAAATAAAAAAAGAGGAAACTTGTTGTTATGATTATTTACTGTTGAAAAATAAAATAATATTAATAATAATAATTGTAATAATAATATGTATACTCAACTAAGAATAACTTATGCTGCAATCTTATGAATTCGCAATTACAGAGTGTGTACATAAAATAAGTGTTTTCGATCACACACCTTTCGCACTTTTACTGTGTTGTGACCGCCTTGCAAACTGATTTTACTGAGTAATATGTTGCTGGTTGTTGTTGTGGTTGTTGTAAATGGCTTGAATTTATACGAACTAAGAGATGATACAGGGATGCCAATCAGAGAAAATTTGCCAGGGCAAAAGAGAGATGTTAAGCGAAAGCCACACTGTCCATTGATTAACTAACGGCTAGTTAATGAATGAATTAATTAATTAATTAATCCAAAGATTTAATTAAATCGATCCTATAATCCAACCACTGGATGCCTCAGATCAATTTCCAGCACTACAGGTACACTAATATTGTTTAAACCATTCGGGTTATTGTCCATGCTACATTTTTCATCATCAACACTGTTCCCAGTAGACGCAGTACAATTAGGATCTTCATCGGTCACCACCACGGTATTTTCCACTGGGAACTTAAAAGAACCATGCGTGAACAATTGACAACCACAAACACCTCTAGGGAGAAATTTTATACCATTTTCAAAGTTGTTGTTGTAAAGTGGTTGATTGTTGTCAGTGGATTGTTTGGATAGCGCAGTACTACTATGACTACTACGTGAAAGTAATCGATACTTGTGCTTTTTTGGTTTCTCCGTGCAGTCTTTATTTCCGACAAATGTGAACGCATTGCTGAATTCATTTCGTGTATATTCAAATTTATCCAATGACTTTAAAAATCTACCTTTCATACGGCTATGAAGTGAAGTACCGCCGTTGACTTTTGTAGGCGAGATGGCCTCTTCAGGGTCTTGTTTTTTTTTGCTTGGTTTTATTAACTTGGAAAGATTAGCTGACAATTCGGTGGATGCTGGTGACAGTTGGATCTTTTCGGATGGTGTGTGGATATTTGATGACCGATTGTAGGTGAGAGATGGTTTATCGCATTTCTTATCATTTTTTTCTCCAAGTGAAGCTCTACTAGCTGACGACTGGTTGATAGGCTTGTGAGTGAGAAACTAAACACAATAGGAGAGACAGAGAGAAGACAAGCAGAGAGACAGATTAGTTAACCAGCAGGTGTGTCCACATGAAACTCTATTTTGAACTGCCACCCACGTATAAATATATATATATATATACATTTAAAAATAGAGGATAAGGGCCAGTCAACAGATCGTCTGTTTAGCAAATCAATACATATTTATTGATTTTCATGTACATTATTATGGATTATAGTTAGCAGGCAAACACAGTCTTCTGATTGGTGGTTGTTTCTCTTTGTGGCTGTTTCTTGAAGGTCAGATCATCTATCTATCTGCTAATTGTATCCGCCTACGCAAACAAAGTGTTCTGTGATTGGTTGTTGAGTCAGTCAGTCTTTGTTCTTGTTTTCTCATGACCAATAATATTTGGGACATCAACAACATTGACGTAAATTACTACTGTCTACCAATTTCGGCTAGCGCAGACAGCTCTCACCAGATCTGCATTCTCTGATTATAAATACTTCTTAAGTTCGTCATTTTTGTATCATGTGTAATCATTTTCTGGTTCATGTTTCTGGGATTCTACAGAATTTAACCAGTGAAGGAATATTACGTATTTTTAAAATCAGGTCCCAAGATTTCGATTACAGTTGACTGCGATAATATGTCCCATTTCACGTTGCATAATTTCTACACACACACACACGCACACACCCATAAGACGTTCAAAACTTGATACATCAAATAGTCTTCATGATGGCCACGGCAGGCAGAGTTGGACAAGGGTTGAACGTATTTCTTTTTGATACATAGCATGGGTTTGAGCTTTTGGATGGCTAGTGCCTCAGCTATGCCCAGATGTCTTAATTTCACAACCCTTTGATAGGTTTGATCGAATCTTGTATATTAATTTGAAGGATTTTTCGAAAGGTGTTGAATGTCCTGAATTGACCAGATGTTCTGTCACTGAACTATATACACACGTTTTCGTTCTCCTTTTACTAGCCAGGCTGGATAGTGTTCACGAGCGCATTTTTCAAGTAAGTTGGCGCATGGTACGGCCGATGTACTCAGCTCCGCCAGAGAGCAAGTGAACTGGTATATGCACGTTGAATTGGCCCAATGTGACAGCTTGTCTTTCGCGTTCTGGCTGAACAGTTTCTTGCAGGAAAACGTTAGTCGTAGGCTCGTGGCGATGTATGTCTTCCTCAGAGATTTGCAGAGGCGTTTACGAAGGATTTCTGCTTGAATGTCATCTTTGAATTCTAGATTAAGCAGAAGTATCTTCTTGGGGACGGATTGAACTTGTTCGGAAGTCTTCTTTGATTTGAGATTCTTGTCTATGAACCTAGGCGGAAAACCGTTTTCCATCAGGGTTCTTTGTAGATTACTCAGTTCTTCATCAATCACCTCCTCGCTGCATATCTTCCGAATCCTTGAGGAAATAGCTTATATCAGTTTTCTCTTCTGCTTAGGGGCACGAAGCTTTGAAAGTTGATGAATTGTCCATTCCATGTAGGCTTTTTGTAAATGGACCTTTTCAGAGAGTTGTTGGCGTTTCTTGTCAGATGGACGTCGAGGAAGTGGAACATTCCGTCGGATTCGGCTTCAAGAGTAAAGTCGATGTTTTTTTGGGCATTGTTGAATGCTTGAAGTAAGTTTTCAAGGTCCAGGTTCTCATCACAAATGATGAAAGTATCATTAATGTATCTCTTGTAGAGATAAAGGTCGTCGATAGTTGATGATAAGGGGTTAATTTCGAGGCTTGCCATGAAACAGTCGGCTAAGAGGGGTCCGAGTGGAGAGGCCATTGCCACGCCATCTACTTGTCTGTAGAATTCATCTTTGAATCTGAAGAAGAGGAAGACATACTTCGCCGCGAGCCTACGACTGACGTTTTCCTGCGAGAAACTGTTCAGCCAGAACGCGAAAGGCAAGCTGTCGCATTGGGCCAATTCAACGTGCATATACCAGTTCACTCGCTCTCTGGTGGAGCTGAGTACATCGGCCGTACCATGCATCAACTTACTTGAAAAACGCGCTCGTGAACACTATCCAGTCTGGCTAGTAAAAGGAGAACGAAAACGTGTGTATATAGTTCAGTGACAGAACATCTAGTCAATTCAGGACATTCAGCGCCATTCGAAAAATCCTTCAAAATAATATAGAAGATTCGATCAAACCTATCAAAAGGAGTGAAATTAAGACATCTGGACATAGCCGAGGCATTAGCAATCCAAAAGCTCAAACCCATGGTATGTATCAAAAAGAAATACGTTCAACCCTTGTCCAACTCTGCCTGCCGTGGCCATCATGAAGACTATTTGATGTATCAAGTTTTGAACGTCTTGTGGGGGGGTGTGTATGTGTGTAGAAATTATGCAAAGTGAAATGGGACATATTATCGCAGTCAACTGTAATCGAAATCTTGGGACCTGATTTAAAATACGTAATTTTCTGGTTCGTTTATTGCATTGGATCTTAATAATGTGTATTTCTTCTTTTCCCACTTGTGCCTTTCAACAATGTCTGTTTTCACTCAAACGGCCAAAATGTGAAGTAACAGGGAGTGATTTTTATCTATCCTCATGGCTTGTATGCCAAAAATAAGGCTCATTTGGTTCAGCTTATAGACTTCTATAGTTAGGTTTGTAAGGATTAGTTATGTTTTACGAGTTGATCACGGACTGATATCAGTTAGAGAACCATTGAAAATCAGGGAGTACTGGACAGCTGCTGTTTCATCAACTCGTAAAACAGCTTATAGACGACAACTTACAGTAACCATCCTAATCCTATGGAATCTTACCTCTAAGCCCCTTGCAATCCACATTCGTATCTTCGAACTTTCACATCAAGCTGAACAGTATTATCTCCTTTGTTACTATGTGGTTATCCGGAAAAATTTATCACTTGTCACAATTAAGAAAAACCACATGTAGAAAAGACAGCTTCTGTACCAAAGAAAGCTATCTTTATTAACCTACCTACCATTCAAGGGTGACCAGATTATGCAGTTGTGACAGTTAGCTCAAACGCACATTCTACTCCACATCTTCCTCCCTCACATGCCGAACAATTTTCGATCCCTGTACCTACGATTAAATGACGAAATTCTGTGGACTCTACTTTAAACTGTATCTACAAGTTCACCTGCAGTTGTTGTGGCGACACACACTTATATAGGTGTAGAACCAATAGAATGTTCCAATGTCGTGGTCGAAAAGAACATGTTCCAAAATGGTTACTAAATCATATAGAAAATCCCACCAATGCATTCATTAATCTGAATAGAAATCCACCTGCATCATCATCCATTGCAAAACACTTATTAATGTCAGGTCACAAAATCAATCAATATTAATTAATGACTGTTTCACAATTATTTCATCACATAACTCTAATTCAAGGTTGGTTATTGAATGAGTGATGGAAGCACTCTTTAGGGGATTAATCACATACAGCCTAAACTGTATGTGTACAGTCAAAACAATAGACTTCAACCTTCCTTCGCCTACCATGGACTGACTACTTGACCTATTTAAATGTGATGATTGGTCATTAGCATAGTATGTACTTTTGTTTTGTCTTATATAACTGAGTAATTGTCATGCATTTTATTTTATTATTGTGAACCGACCATGTTAGTTGTGTGAAGCGGTTGTAGCGAAACTACGAAATGACGATATCATCTCTCGACGAAATTTGTCTTCTAAATAAATGCCTTATTCAAATAATAATAATTGTATCCATGTAAACTAATCTATATAATAAATGCGATTGTACAGCTAGCTGCTTTTGAGAATGAAATCGCCGAAAAGATCTCCATCTTTGCTGAATTTCTTGTTGTTTTCAATCTAATTAACCACTTTGGTCTATTGACTGAAACCACACTGTCCAGTCAAAGTCAATCCTTCCACTATAAGTACGTAAATAAAGAAGAATAAAGTCAGATTATTGCGATAAAGAAAGGAGGACGAAATTTGCAATATGAAATGATATCATTCTATTTCACAGGTTCTCATCAGCTAACTGCAGATTACCTGAAATTACAATGGTTATATCAATGATAATAACATACTTTAATGTTTGAGTACTGGTAGTAGAGAAGAGATACTATAAAATTGACGCATCCAAAATAAAAGCAGCATTACAATTTTTTAGTTTAAGATTTCATCACCAATTTAATACGCTTTTAAAGTTGAAAAGAGGCAGTGAGGCGGAGGGGGAAGACAGAAAACAGAAAAAAATTGTTAATTAACAGAACAGTGTGTTAGCTTGTAGCTTGTTCAAATAGCAACTCCAAAAAACAAAGGCGGTTACAGTTTATGAGATTAAGATTTGTTCAGTGAGTTGAGATCACTCACTGAATTAGATGACTAATTATTGTAATGAAAATCAAAATTCAGCTACCGCGGCAGTGAGAGGTTAATCACACACACTCTCTTTCTGTATGCATAAGTCTGGTTGGTTTAAACTGTTTGATTGCGATCGCTTCGGCAAATCGCTTCGTAGTGAATGTGCTGTCCTTTGTCTATTTAATATTTTGAAGGACTTAGAAAACTCTACGAGATGTCCGGTATCAACAATATGTGGATGCGTCAATTTTATCTCTTCTCTACTACTACTACTCAAACATTAAAGTATGTTATTATCATCTACATATAACCATTGTAGTTTCATCAAGTAGTCTGCAGCTGATGAGAACCTGTGAAATACAATGATATCATTTTAAACTGCGAATTTCGTCTTCCTTTCTTTATCGAAATTTATCAAGGGGACCAGTTGTATGAAGTTCTTGAAAAGACGCCTCCCTGTCTCAGATTATTGCATTAAAAAAACCTTTAAAACAAACATTCACGAATTTATTATTATTATCATTATTCGTACTGAACATGTTGAAGACAGTGGTGACAGTTTTACAGGAGCTGATGAACGCGAACACAGAGAACTCTATGGTTTTGACACTCGGTTTTGTTCTAAAATTTTAATACCATTTAACCGGGCTATTGTACGTTAACCAGTCAGATATTTTTCACTAACACTTCGTCACAAATTCACTCGCTGCAATAGATTGAAACTCCTCTTGAAAATTTTGTGTTGAATAGTGTTCAAGAGAGCCATGACTCATTGCAGCACTCCCACCTTAAGGAAAACTGAAGAGAGATATCTCATGGACGTCTTCCAAAAGAATGGATGGATATCCACGGAATTTCATCAAAAGACAAATACCCACAAGCCGCCAATCTATCAAACAAACGGAAAGCACAAAGAAAGTCCCCCTGCCATATATAAAGGACATCTCAGAAATCACTACAAGACTCTTCAAACCTTTAGGAATTGATGTCACACACAAACCAACAAAGTCACTTCATTCAATTCTATGTCAACCAAAATACTCAACAGCGAAAGAAGATAAAACCAACATCATCTACAAAATAAACTGTAACAACTGCGAAAAACACAACATTGGCCAAAGTGGACGTCCCCTTCGTCTTCGTATCCACGAACATAAGGTAGCTGTCAAAAGACATGACATCCACTCCCTCATATCACTACATACAGACAACTACGGACATCAATTCGGCTGGGACAACTAAACCAACGTTCAAATATTAGACAGAGGAAACAACACCGAGAATGCTAGAGAATTTTTAGAAGCCTACCTGGTATTCCAGTGAATCATCAATCAATAGACACATCGAGATTGACAAAATCTACCAACCGATTAGAAAGAAACCTCAAACACACAAAGGGTTGAAGTTCAAGTCAAAGAAACAATAAATTACAATACAAGTAACCTAGAAGGTGTGAAAACACACAAAAACAACCAATCAAGTCCAAGGTCACCAGGAGAGATGATTAATAAACTCACTCGTGGAGAAATCTAAAAGCTCACTTCAATTCAAATTGAAGTATGCGCTGAAGGAAGATGTCGCCTGTCTAGTAGGGCGATGAAAGCTTCTCAAATTAACTATCCAGCTCAGAGAACACAACTACATCAAAATCATCCACCTGAGCTACATATCTTCTCTATCATATCTAAATCTTACGAGTTTAGCATTCGACTAGCCTAACTCTCTTGTAAGGTTCTGTTGTGTATTCTACTGACAGAAGGTTCCGAAAAATGAAACTTTATCGTTTTTTCTTTCAGATTTTATCAGTGTGGTGATTGCTTGCCCCCCCCTCCGCAAAAAAATAACTTCAAGTATTGCTGATGTATCACCTTATAAATAAGAGGATTAGTTGCTAATTACAGCCATTGTATCCGAGATTTCCAATAGGTGTCTTTCCGATAAAATGCATGAATTAGTCAGTTTCACCAGAACAAGGTTATTTGTGTTATTTTGAGTCACCCTTGCACTGACGACCAACTCGCCGCTTCCCTTTCGGTCGGTTCCACTCGAGCAATCGCTTGTTTAGTGATGTCACTCACTTGATGGTTTGTTTTCTCAGAGTATGGCCAACCCACCTCCATTTCTTCCTGCTTATTTGTTGCACAATCGGTTCCTGCTCTGTTGCTTCGCTCATTACCAGAGATCCCACCCTGCTGCTGATATTTTTTGGCCGGCCGGCCATCTGATCTTGAGTGGTATTGAGCGAAGAAAACTAGCTGTTGATAAGGTCTGTAGTTTGTTTGAGGTGCTCTCTATGACGCGCTGGCCAAGGTCCTCGCTGCTTTGATATCCTCGTCAGTTCCATCCGCCTGTAGTTGAAACGATGCTTCTCATGTAGGTAGGTAGGTAGGTGGGTGAAGGAGGTTGTTTCTTTCAGGTTCCTCCCATTTCTGCTGGCTGATTATTGTCTGTTGTTGCTGCTGTTAGTGTTGGCCAGGAATCTTCATCATCGCCTCTGTTTTCTCTATGTTTACCTGAAGGAAGTCCTATCTTCTGTGGATGCTTCTTCTGCCAACTTGAAAAGAAGGATAAAGTCAGATTATTGCATTAAAAAAACCTTTAAAACAAACATATACGAATTTATTATTTTTATGATTATTATTTTTTTAAATCATATTTCTTACTGAACTTGTTGAAGACAGCGGTGAAAGTTTTACAGGAGCTGATGAACGCGAACCCAGAGAACTTGGTGCTTTTGACACTTGGTTTTGTTCTAAAATTTTAATCCCATTTAACCGGGCTATTGTACGTAAACTAGCCAAATATTTTTCTTTGTCTTGCATAAATAACGGTAGGCGAACTGCAGACATGATGGCACATCGACGAACTTTATTCGTCTCTTCCAGGGTCAATTTACCAGCCATTAATAGATTGAAGTCAACGTTGGCTTGATTTCGGAGGATTTTAACTGCTCCTGTTACCATAGAAACAAAGAATACAAGAGGTAAATATTGAAACATTGAATAAATATCTCTATTTTTTTGGCTTGTAAATAATTATCACTTTTAAATCTCACTTTATCACCAAAATACTGAACTAAATAAATCTCTCTAACTAACAACAATTATTCATCTCATTGTAGCAGGAATCCACTTAATTTTTTTTAACCTGTAACTCTATCCTAAGGTCAAATAAATTAATTATGTTTCTTGCTAACAGCAACATTAGTTAGTTAGTTAGTTGTTTCACAAGTAAGTGTTCAAAAATTGTCTCTCTCTGAATCAGTCAGTAAGACGTTCTTTGCAGCAAAAAATTACATATGACGTTCACTAGCCTCAAGTTGTTCTCTACCTCTGTGTAAAAGATAAGCTCCCCCTGTCTGGCAGCCTGTATGTGCATCTGTCAGTTCAACTGATCCTCTCTTGTGGAGCAAGGTACATTGGCTGTAGTCAGAGGACGCCGCCTTCCACCCCACGGATACGAGAACATATTCCAGCAGCATGGTTTTACAAGGGAGAAAGGAAGTGTGTGCGTGCGAAGTGCTCTATTCTGGAACACCTGATCGACTTCTGTGTCACTCCACACCAACCCTGACCATGATTTTAAGATCATCATCTCTCGAATCCATGCTAACATGCTAGCCGCGTTTTCTTCGTTACAGACTTCTAAAGACAGCTGAGGCCTTAGCAATTCATGACTTTAAGCCAGCCAGCCAGAACTTTGTGTACAAAAGAAGTATGTACAATGCCTACTTCTGCCTTGGCCGTAGAGGGATAGACATTTATCTATTTTGTTTATTTAGTTATTCTACGTACTTTTCCCTTATTAATACGATTATTACTATTGTTATATTATTATTATTATTACTATTCTCATTCTGAATTGTTTCCACTTGTCATTCTAAACCCAAAATTATTAATTTTTAAATTTTTTATTTTTACAATATTGCATTCTATCTTATCGAATTTCACACGATGTTATGTAACATTTTATATTCGTCTACTAATCTTGTAATTATGTACCCCTTTCCAACAACATCTGTACATCCATCTTACGTATTATTCTATATATGACATTAATTTGCTTTGCCACTTGACATTAAACTGTGATTATAATCACAAATATTTTAATTGCATTTCATACTACTAGTATTATTATTTCATGTATTCACACCTTTGACCTAATTCCCTCCCTCACCGGATATAATTTCTTATAAAGTAAACCATATGTGTATATACAATTGTACAGCTTGATGATAAATTCGTTGTTGAAAAGAGTCTCCTCGCTGAATATACCTTGTGTTCTTAATGCTACAATGGGAATTGTTAGTTCCCTTTATGAATTTAGATAAAGCAGCAATAAGAAGACGCAAAATCCAACGAATATGCACACTGAAGACAGACACACTTGATGATGAGGAAGAAAGAAAGTTGACACAAAATCACTCTGGTTGATAACTATGATCCAGACAAGTTCATCAAGAGAAATAAAGTAGTCAGTGGAACACCAAGACCAACTCACTCTACAACTCGCCCCTAAGAAAGACGTGTACATCAAACTACCCTATGTAGGCGTGGCATCATAGCAGCTTGATAAATAGACAAAAACTGAACACTGTTGTGGTTAAAAAGAGGAATTTTTATGCAGCTAATATCATAATAATTGAGAATGTGAAGCCAATATATCCATCCATCTAAGCCCTTCGAACATACGAAAAATGATGTCACACTCTCCCACTGTATTAACCAATTTGAATGTACATGCGGACACACACACAAACATGCATAGGGAGGACTCATCGATCTCTCCAAGTAATGGCTGACTTCAGAACATATTCCTAGATGGCTCCAAAAACAAATGGAATCCTCAGAACCCATTAATGGTGAGAACAGACAAAGACCTAGCTGGCTCCTCTATTGCGAAACATATTACAGAGGAGACAGGACATAAAATTGACGCTTACACACATCTTTTAAACCTATCTATAAAAGCGTGTTTGGGGGAGGGCGTATCCTAAAGTTTGTTGAAGCTCTAGCTGGCAGTTAGGAAGTTCAAACCACCTTTATGCGTTCAAAGCAGCAATTCGTCATCACACTAAACCTACCTTCCTTGATGGTAAACTTTGTTTCGATACCAACCAGGGCAGATGTACTATTACCTCTGTTATTTGGTTTAGTCATTCATCTTCATTGTTATTTTGACCTTCAATATGTCCTCCTTTTAACTTGACCTAGGTAGTCAAGTCTATTTTCTCACCCACCTCTTAACTCTTTATTAATTTCATATATATGTGCTCCTATGACAAGTCCGTGTGTGATGGATCTGATTGTTCGAAATGTATGTTGCGCAAATCTGCACATAACACACACGATTCAGACAAATTACGTCTTTTTATTGCTTTATCTAAATATCTCTTTACTCAGTGGTGAAATTAAGCTTGTAAATAATTATCACTTTTAAACCTGGATAGCATTATTAGAAGACGGAGATTATCTGAAAAACAATGTGATGTGATGTATTTGCGCTAAACATTTCGAACAACTGATCCCTCACACATTTACTTGTCAAGTCGATATGCATATGGAAAAGTTAAATTAAACAAAGTGACAAAAAAAAGGATTTAAGAATGATTAACACAACGTTTGTTAATCCAATCAAATAAGCATTACCAAGGTAGGTGGGTTAAGAGTATTAATAAACTGTTTTTGAATACACAAGGGGGGCTTAAGTTTATGAATAGCTATAGCCTCAGCTTATTTCAATAAGTGCTCTTGACCATTTTTTATAGATGACCTTAAAGGCTGAGTTGTAGCATCAATCTTATGGTTCATCTCGATTAGGTGTGTTGGCTATAGACGAAGTTGGTAGTCTGACTGACACCTGCATCTATTGGCTTGTCACAATTCATTTGTTTTTCTAACCATTTTAGGAGATGCTCACTGTCCCACCCTCACATGCAAAGCACAGTTACTCCTCCCTATTTGTCCATACACACACACACACACACACACGAAAACTGGTAAATTGTATGGGATGTGACATAATCACTTGTGCATTTTTGAGGTTTGTAATGGAGCATATTTTTAGCTTTTTCGACAATTACAAGCTGGGCTGCATAATAGGTTCTACGGATGATCGAATTCAACACCTTTGTCTCAAAATCCTACTGTTTCTTTCCCCGTTATATGGTAATTTGACGAAAACACTTTTCTTAGGGGTGGTATAGATTGTAGGTTTAGAGACTAATTGACTTCTAAACCTGTTTAAAAATTTTAAAGGATATCCCGTTTTCAACAAGAGTATCCATCAATATTTCGTTTTCTTTGTCTATAACATCAGCCGTACAAATACGTTGAATCCTCTTAATAAATAGACATTTCACCAAGCCTCTCTTATACTGTAATGGACAGAAACTGTGAAAATTAAGGTATTGTCCTGTCCAAGTGGGCTTTCTGTAGATTGATCGATCGTCTTATTGAACCATCATCATCTCTTCGACTCAGGAGTATGTCTAAAAATGCAAGCTGGTTGCGACTTTATTCCTCGCATGTATAAGACTTATATGATTCTGTACAGAGTTAAGTCTCACTTTATCACCAATATTGAACTAAATCGGTCGGTCGGTTTTCGACGTAGAACCTCGCGCATATGTGCCCCAGTTCAGGTCGCCACACTCCACTCCTTGGAACACACAAAGGAAGAGAAGAAAGTAGGAGAAATGCATAATAGAGACAGTAAACAGAGGTGTGAGACAAAGGTATAGTAATAACGAAGAACAAAGCAGTTTCATTGGAAATGATGAGTCACAAGGAGTGGATGCATCTGCGCCAACCACTGAGAACGATTTTGAGCCATATCACCAACTGTTTCCAACCATTGATTTTTACCATCCCGAGGACCCCAACCAGTCAGGAAGCCAGTCTACACCTTCCTACATGGCTTAGACTAACTGTTGTAGATTTCATTGACTGGTGCCATGTTTTCGTTTGACCGCCGCTAGCTCTTTTCCAGCCTGACACTATATCAGCTAACATTGCCCATTGTCGAGGAAGGCGATGACTAGGCATACGTAGCACATGTCCTAACCATCTCAGTCAATGTAATTTCACAGTTTCGTCGACTGATTTCCCCTCCTTACCTATTACTCGACGCCTAACCTGAATATTGTTCACCTTATTATACCACTTCACACGGGAGATAGAACGCAGACACCTATGATCGAAGACAGCTAATCTTTTCATGTCTTCCACTCTCAATGGCCAGATCTCACAACCACAAAGGAGGCGAACTGCTGAGCAGTACACCCACCCTTTGGTCGATAGCCAGCCGGATATCACGTCTACTAAGCCAGAGACGGCGTAAACTGGCATATGCGAAACTAGCCTTCTGCATTCGTGCTGAGATTTCGTCGGAGATCAACCCGTTGGCACTGGCTGATGGTACTTCCCAAATAAGTGAAGTGGTCAACGTGCTCCACCAACCACTTCACTTCTTATTTCTAATCTAGGGATCAGTGAATTCCAATCCTGCAACATCATCTTACATTTTTATAGGGGCGAATCGCATGCCAAACATACGAAGATGGTTGCTCAGGGTGTTCAGTAGACTCTGCATTTTGTCAGCTTTTTTGCCTAGAAGGACTATATCGTCTGCATATTCTAACTTATGTGTATGAAATGCGACTGTATAGCTAGTCAGAATGAAATCACTGAAAATCTGTCTTTATTTGAAATTCTTATTTTCGAACTGATGAAGAGTCACAAAGCTAGGACGACGAAACAGCTGTCCAGTACTCCCAGTCGGTTTTTTCAATAGTTCTCTAACCAATGTCAGCTCATGATAAAATCCTGTAACCAAACAAATAATAAACAAATGGCAACTACTTCGCTACTACCAAGGGGTGCCGCCGACAATTATATATCTCATCCAACAGTTAGCTGCACGGAAATGCTGCATGCCAAGTAATCCATAGTGGGAAACTTACGGAATCCTTCGTAGAAGTGAAGACGGGAGTAAGACAAGTCTAACTGGCTGTTTATTATCGCCGATGATTTTCCTGATTGCGGTAGATTGGATAATGCGACAGATAGCGGTCAGCGAGGATACAGGCATATGTATACATATGTATATACTATATCTTTATTATTATTATTATTATTATTTAAGCATCTTTAATGAACTGTGGTGATTCCATTGTGATCTTACTTCACAAATCGATATTATTTAAAAAGCACACACTAATATTGTTATTGACTACTAATCTAGAATATTCTATGTATATAAACAGACATGCATGTGTATATAATTGTAGAGCGAGAGAGGAGGAGGAATTTATCGAAAAGGGGGATATTCTTTGCTGGCTCAATTATATTTTGTGTTTTATAGATAGATAGATGTCTGAATGAATATTTTTGTTATTAATATATCTGCCCGTTTATTATTGATCTATTTGGTCGCCCTACTGTCATGTTGAATTGATGTTTCTTAGTTTAATTCGAAAGTGGCCAGTCCACCACCTCCAAAATCTATTAAAACTATTACCCAAAATAGGACAGGAATTATCCTTCAAATGACATCAAAGGCTAGTGAATGCCCTTCTTCTTTTGTGATAGGAATGTATAATAGAATGGAACTTTACAACAGTGATGCTTTTGCATGAAGTTGTGACTACTATTATTATTATGTGGTGAGAGCTGTCTGCTAGGCAAAATTGGTACACAGTAGTAATTTACGTCAATGCTGTTGATGTCCCAAATATTGGTCATGAGAAAACAAGAACAAAGACTGACTGACTCAACTAACAACCAATCACAGAACACTTTGTTTGCGTAGGCGGATACAATTAGCAGATAGATGAATGATCTGACCTTCAAGAAACAGTCACAAAGAGATGAAAGATTAACTAACGTTCAGTGAGAAACAACCACCAATCAGAAGACTGTGTTTGTTTGCTAACAATAATCTATAATAATGTACATGAAAATCGATAAATATGTGTGTTGGTTTCCTTAATAAGCGATCTGTTTGACTGGCCGCTGTCTTCTGTTTTTACATTTGGTATCGCTGCCTACCGACAAATTGCGTGTTTTCCAAATTATCAAGGAATGCACTGATCATCATAGTCGTATAACTAATAATATTAATAGCTTTATTCCAAACAGTATTTGTGGTACAGGTATGGAATTTTCAGCGTGCATTACAATATTGCATCTAATTACCTCATAAATTTTATAATATTTTAAAAACAAAAAGCAACAACAACAAAAAATAGATAAATAAAAATAAATAAAAGAAAGAACAGCGTTACATTCACATTTTAAACAATGCACCACAGGATATGATATATAAAATTAGTGTGTAATAAAATATATGAGCAACAATATAATAGTAACAAAGAAAGGAGAACAAAAGCTAATGGGAAACTATTTGTTCCTTAGAGTGCCGCAGTAAGTTGATCGTGTCATACCTAACAGATTTCTCATCATATAACAGCTGTGTCAGATAAGGTATTGTGGAGCTTTGTACTTGGTAGTGCTAGCATATAGCCCCCTATAGTTGCTTCTAGTTCTACCAGATGAAATGCAAGAAGAGAGCTGCGTATAGAGAGGGTGTTCGGGGTCTGACAATATAGAATTCACTAGTTTCTTACATGACATTATATGTCTATCCACAATGGTGTTAACCAGTTGACTTAACGAAATCCCACCTGCCCTACTAACAGCTTTTAGTGCCCTACGCAGCAAAGCAAAATCTTTCTTAAGTAGTCCAGGAAAGATTAATGGGGAGCAGTAAAGAGGGATAGGTAGCAAACACAAGAATTGACAAACTGAGAAAGCAAAGACTGCTTTATACCAGACTGCCTTAACTTCCTAACGTAGAAAGTTAAGTGAAACATCTTTCTAGTAACTAGGAAGATGTGAGAGGACCAGGAAAGATCGGAGGAAATACTCAGTCCAAGGTACTTGACATTAGATGTAGTTTCAACCTCTATGCCGCCAATGATAGTGGGACCATGTGAGCTATCTAGTTGTTGTAGGTCATGCATAAATAATAACACTGTCAGCCACTGGTGGGTTTTCAACAAATTTTCAGTTGACTCCTGTGTCTTGATTATCAGTGGAGAAGACAAGCTATAACATCGAGGAAGGAATATCCAATTAAACGACGCCAAAGCATATACGACTTCAGCGTGAAGTGATAGCAGCCAATTTCGTGAATTGACAAATTTTATTTACAGCTTATTAGCGCTGCCATCCGCCTCTAGAAAAATGTCAAGAGATTTTAATTTTATTTCAATTTATGTAATAAAAAAATTTGACAAATATTACCTTCAAAATATCTTTGATCCTTTCCGTAGCCACCACACTTATCTTGACTGGGTAAACAACGCTTAATGCGCATACAGTGTTTCCAGCGTTGCTCTTCATTCGATACATACTTTCCAAGATGTTCAAATAATTCTTTGAAAGGTAAATATTCAGCCATACAAGAACCATCTATGCAAACAAACAAAAATTTTTTTAAAAACATGGAGAAATATTTATACTACTGAAATGTAAAAAAGTAGTTCAACAAAATAAAATCATTTTTTCTCTCCCATCTTGGTGTTAAGATGTTTTCTTTTGGACTAGATGGAAATGTTGAAATAATCCTTTTTGCCTTTCAGGCAGGTACCTCATGAAGAAATCAGCCTGAAAAAAACTTGGAGATGTTAACCGTCTACATGGCCATCATCAAACAAAATAAATCTTCAAAAGAATGGATACACATTTTCACAGCTTCGTTCCTATCAAGTACAAAAGAAATTTAGTGAAGACCCTCACTCGGCCACAGAGTTAGTTAGAGCTATATGCTCAGAAGAAGTAATTGAAGATGAATTTAGCATTGATTGTATATGATACTTTGATCGATCGAAAATAGTTATCCCGACAAATTTATCAAGAAACACATGACAAAGAAAGCGGAGGAAAAGGACTACTCACTCTCCATCCGTAAACAAGAAGCCTCTTTATATACGACTGCAATTCATGGGCGATATACCAAGCGAGTTAATTACGAAGAAATTAAGAAAATCAGTTCAAAGAACTTTTAATACTGGCGGCGAACTACACGTCTTATTCTCTACACGACCGATGGTGCTACCTCGACTGAAAGATGAAATACCTAGACTAGACTAGCTGGCCACTTCAAATTGTATCTCCCAATTCAACTGCAACTATGCTTGTGGTGGAGTGAGTTATATCGACCGCTGTTGCTCTAGGAACTTGATTTTTCGTGCTCGCTCGAGAGAGAACATCTCCCAGTATGGCTAAGTAAAGGTGTAGTGAAAACCATCATGAACAGTTCGATATTGAACTATCTGGTGCAAACCGGCCGGCCGGCCAACAAAGCCAGTCAGCTAGCGTGAAAGAACCCTTCTCTATTATCATCTACCGGGTGCCTAATAAATTGACAAAATCATCATCGAAGCACCGAATGCTCCCTAAACAGCAGAGGCTATTGCAATTCACCTCAAACAACCAGTGAGTGCTCTGTGTGCAGAAGAAGCAAGTCCAGCTAGCTAGCCACTACTACTGCCCTGGCTGGCTGGCCTTCAGTAGAGACTATAAATTCATGAATTTGTAATATTATCTTTCCTAATTCAACTGACATTCAGTGTGTATTGTTATGTTGATGCTATTGAACTGTAATCCATTGGTATTATTATTATTATTATTATTGATTCGATGTTATTTAAACAGCAACATTAATGTTGTTGTTCATAACACTAATTCATTCATTCCTTCATTCGCTATAATGGATGGATATATAACTGTAGAGCCTGATGATGATGAAGGGGTTATCGAATAGCGTATTTATTCTTTGTTCGGTATCCATTCTTCTGAAATTTTTATTTGGCATTTTTAATCAGTCAAAATAAATCTGTTCAACACCGATCCTCTTTATCATTTCCCTTCTTTAAACCTCAGTTTTTCTTATAAATGCATATATAATTAACTTATCTTCTCTTAACTTGAAATCGTTGAATAAAATGACGGTGACCATCAGGTACACTTATGTTCACACTAACTTTAAGGAGTAACTCTGGGTCGTTTCGACGACTGCTTCTCAGAAGAGAGAGGGAGAGGGAGAGACTATTGCAACGTTTTTTGAGAATAGAACTTGTGCACTGTGGTGGTAAAGTATAATTCCATTGTTGGTAAAAATGTATTTGGATAAAGTCTCACAATGTTGTTATACAGTAATATTTGCTGATGACCACGTTTTGAGCACAAACTGTTGCTACTCATAATCATATCAAGGTACTCACACAACATTTTTCCTTCATTTATATACATGTGTGGATTCTAGTAGATATTTAGACTTTCATTCATCTCATCCGCGTTAACTGTTAAGGCAGACTTAGTTAAGTTAGGTGTCTAACAAACCGAGCAGTAGCACAAGAAAACACCTAAATGATGAAATGAAACAGATAGAAGAGGCGTTGGTGTCAAATAAATCACTATCCTATAAAATTCATTAAGAAGATCAATAATGGCTAGAAGCAAAATCGAAAAATAATTGTGAAAATAGTAATAATAACACAAAATAAGAGAGAATATAAGTCATCCACTGTTACACCATATAAGGAGGGGACATCTGAGACACTCCCTACGTAGGATTCTTCATAACAAAGCAGCAATTAGGCTGGTGGTGGCATTCAAACCTACAAACTCACTCAAGTAGGACAAGCTCTATGGGTTAAAGGACGCTGTCGGTTGATCCAATTAGACAAAATAATATAATCTATAAAATACCCTGCAATGACTGTGAGTGAGGTCAACTACCTACATAGGTGAAACTAGTAGATCGGGGGTATTCAGATTGTCGGAACATAAGAATTTAGCTAAGGTAAGAATGGTTGACCCCAACCGAGAAGATGAGTAATTTAGAAGATAGCTTAGGACTACATTGCACTGCATGCATTAACACACAACGGCATGATGGGAGAGGGTTAAAGTTCTAAGAAGTGATCTATATAGGTGGAGAGAGAGAGATTGATTACTGAATCCTCCCTAGTTCATCGAGTCTACACCCAACACATGCAACAGAAATAACTCAATGCAAATACCAGAGATATGTATGGAAGATATTATTACCAGCAGTCAGTCAGTCGGTGAAATCAGAGGAGGATAATAAATAATCTTAAATTGTATTCTATTTCAATTCAATTCACGTACATCATCACAACATTCTAACAAGTTACTCACTTATTATGACTAAAGAAGAAACACTCGTCTTATTTCCCATCTGATTGTAATTGATTAATAACACTCATATTATTATTATTATTATTATTATTAATTCTGAATGTACATTATCCCATATTACTGATTTGTATTCAAATGTCTAATCATGAATTCCACTCATGTATATGAATGAAGGAAGACGAAAGTTGTGTCAATGAGTGAGTTAGTGAGTGACTTGATATGATCATTATGAGTGGCAATAATGAATTGTGCTCGAAGCGTGTGGTCGCATCAGTGTTAATATTACTTACTGTATAACACTACACACACGCACACACTGTGAGTGACAGTTTATCAAAACAGAAAATCTTATCCATAATGGAGTAGTTATACTCTATCACCACCACAGTGCCCAAGTTTTATACTTATATCAATAAGTCCATTCCTATAGGATTTGCATAAGATTAAAACAAAAAATAACCGAAGAATCTGAAAGTGACAATGCAATCATGACACTGTGTTACCGACACAAACAGATTCAGTAAGTATTTATTTATTGGACATACTGTCACCGGATGACTGATAAGAGAGAATCCTTTGATACTTTAGGCGTCACGAGGTAAGAGAAACAAAACAATCAATGACTTAGCCTTTCAAAAATAATAAAAATTTCTCAACCAGTTTTTTTTTGTTGTTGTTGTTTGCTTTCCTAGAAAGTTTTGTCAGATGTGCTTGACGCTTATTAAACAATATTGATAGGTGAACTGGTGTGGTGATTAAGCGGATTTGAAGTCTTATCGACAAAAACATTCTCCAAAGACTAATCCTTCCTAGCATTTTATGAAAACTTCACGTAGCCAGTCTGCTGCTAGTTTTGTAGAATTCATAAACTGTTTGTATTAATATATGTGTGTACAACTTGGGCTCTGTGGTGGTGGTAGTAAGTAATTCCATAGTAGTTTGTTTATTAGATGTATCACACAGTCAGTGAAACAGTATTAGAATTTACTGGATGACATAGTTTCGAAAAAAATTACAGGAAACCCACACACATTCAAACAGATATTTGAACTTCCGATCATGACACCCAATCTATGTCAGTAAAAGTAGGATTGGTGAAATGTTTAGGTGACAACAGAGCACAAAAGCTAAGTAGTACCAAGGAAAATCTAAGACAGGAAGTCAGACATATAAGAGAAGCCTTGAAACTTAATAATTACCCTGATAAATTAGTTAGGAAATATTGAGAGAAATGTGAAAATAAAATAAATAATGATAGTAGCGATAGTGATAATAATAATAGTAATAGTAATATTAATGACGACATGCATGTCAAATGACAACTCATCACTTTTGTTACTACTCTCTTATATCAACATCCAATTCATCTGAACTTACTAATCGTATTTTTGTTTGAAAAATTTAATGTACACACACATACAAAACAACCATATATATTTGCGGTTGTACAGCTATGAAAATGAATTCCCCGAAAAGAGACCCTTCACTGAACTACTTGTCTTCTGTCTATTATTGTTCGAATGGGAATTTTTCATGAAATATGCGCGAGACAACACCAACCATAAGGAATCTAAATCATCAGTGGTAATTCTATACAACGAAAGAACCTCAGAAACCACCCACCTTACGCCGAATTATTAACAAGGCAGACAGGAATAAAAGTGGCTGTAATTCACAAACCAACCACAAACTAAATTAGAAAGGAGCTTTGTCGGTTAAAGGATCAATCCTGTGGAGCCTTTAAAACAAAACAATTTAGTTTATCATCATATTCAATATTTTTAATCATGCAAGGATTTGTATACCGCATCGACAATACTGTGTGAAACAAGCCCATGGCAATTCCCACTTATATTATTATCATTACCTTAGCTGCTATCATTATTATTATTTCCATTTTATATGCTGCATGTTTTTTATTTTTTTTATATTAACCCTATTGTAAATGTAGAAAAATCTTCTGTGTGATTAATTTTATTTATAATTTGAGGAAA